TTATATATTTTGCAATTCAACATAACAATATTACTTTTTTGTACAGTATTATCGTGAAAAAAGTAGACGTTAGAACTTTTAGCAAATCTGTAACAACTATCTTAAAAACTGGAAGATTATATGTGTCGCAGCTGGACATAGTAGTATTGTTTTTTTGTGCATAAGAAGATAGTATTTTTCGAAATCCATGTACGAAATGTATATTCCTTTAGTTCCTTTTTACAATTGTTAGCGACGCTTTTAGTTCATAAACCGCGCTCGAAAACAAACGAGGATCGCACGGACGTGTAACACGGAGTGTGTGTGAACATGTACAGAGTAGTAGGAAAGAAGTAAGTGTGGTAAGAAGTATTAATAAAGCAAAGTTTAATTTCATGCAAGTATCATTCATTATCAAAAATAACAATGGTCCTTCGAGCCGGATCAGAGGATCTGGTGCACAAATTTATAAAATTTGCCAGATAATATAACGAGATACAAGTAACGATGACAGAAATCGCAAATTTACGCAAAGCACGAGGCTACTTAAAGGCAAAGTTGACGAGGTTAACTTCGCAAGTATCGCAAATAGTTAACGAAATTGACGTCGAGGTCAACAAAGAGCAAGTGGAGACGAGGCTAGAAAAACTAGAAGAAATATATCGAGATTTTGAGGCCAATCAAAGGAAATTGCTAGAGACATTGAGCGATTTCACCTCAGAGGATGTAACGGAGGAAGACCGCTTCGAGGAGAAATATTTCGAGGTAAAATCTTTATTAAAACAATTAATAAAGCAGACGTCCACGGATGGCACGGCATCGCGGAATACAGACGCGATTATGCAATTATTGCAACAGCAATCAGAAATAATACAACAAATAGGGCGTGGCAATCCAAGCGACGCTTCTACCGCCATGGCGCCACCATGGGCGGCGGGAGAGAACGAGACGTTAGCCGCAATTCTTTCTCGACAAACAGAAATTCTTGATCGCGTGGCTAATGCGTCAGGATCCAACAATATAGAGGCTAGAATTAAACTACCTACTATTAAGCTTCCGCAGTTCGATGGAAAAATAGAGGAGTGGAAATGCTTTTCGGACAGTTTTCGCTCTATTATACACAACAAACTACACTTATCTAATATCGAGAAATTCCAATATTTAGTTTCGTCGCTCGCAGGAGACGCCGCGAAGATTATCGAATCTATTGAGTTAACTGATCAAAATTATGTGGCGGCATGGGAATTATTGCAACAAAGATACGACGATCCTAGGTCACTTAAGAAAAAACATATTCAATGTCTATTTACAATGCCGACGGTGGTTAGAGAGTCTCCAAAGGCTCTCCGAGATTTGATTGACTATACTTTAAAACATTTGCGAATGTTAAAGGTTTTAGGTTTACCTACAGACACATGGGATGAACTTATCATGCACATGATGGAAACCAGATTCGATGTAAGAACTCTTCGAACATGGGAAGAGGAAATAGAAAGGAACAATGATGCAAAGTTGGTTGATATGTTGGAATTTCTGAAAAAAAGATGTCAAACTCTAGAGCGCATTGAGGCGAGATCCGCTGACAAAAACGAGAAATCTTATAAAGAAGGTGAATCTCGTGGTAAGTGATTCTCAGCAACAGGATCAAAACAGCATTTTATAGCAAAGGGTGCTACAAATCAAAGAACAGCTTCTTTAACCGCTTCTTTGAATTCAGGTAAGTGTTATTTCTGTAACGGAGATCACTACATATATTTTTGTGAGAAATTTCTAGCTCTGCCGATATCCAGCCGAATCAAAGAGGTGCAACGATTAAAGTTGTGCATAAATTGCCTAAAAAACGATCATTACGTGAGAGCATGCAAAATGGGCTCATGCAAGGAGTGTGCAGTAAGACACAATACGTTATGTCATCAATCAACAGATGGCAAAGTCTCAGCAAAATTAGAAGGCTCAGAACATCAGAATAAAGCTAACGACGTTCAGTCAAGCAGTAATGTAACGCTTTATCACGCATCAAATAATGTTAAGAGACGTCAAGTTCTTATGGCCGCAGCAATTGTTGAAGCGACTCAGCGCAACGGTTCAAGTACACCGATTCGCGTGCTTCTTGATAGTGCGAGCGAAGCAAATTTTATTACGCAAGCGGCGCATAATAAGCTAGGTTTAAAGAGAGATAGAGCCACAGAAATAGTCACCGGTCTAAATGAAATAGAAAACAAAATTTACAATAGTTGCGATGTTCATGTCAAGTCAAAATGTTCCAATTTCGAGATTAACGCACAATGTTTGATCATACCCAAGATTACTAAAAATTTGCCAGCTGTAAAACTAGATTTTAATAAATTGCAAATACCAGGCAATCTTCAACTAGCCGATTCTGAGTTCTACAAGATAGGTCCAATAGACATGCTGATAGGCGCGGAATTTTCTTTGACTTATTGGAAACAGGCAAAATTGAACTTAGCAAAAATCAATTAATTTTGCAAAATACTAAATTAGGATGACCAATTAGGATAGTAGCAGGATCGATGCCATCAATTGCTCTAGAAGGCTTAACTCACAAACAAGGTGCGATACGTGCACTAGCAAGTTCACTGAAATCATGCGAAATATTAAATGACAACTTAGAAAGGTTCTGGAAATTGGAAAATTATGACAATGAAAAGGTACAAGCGCTATCAATAGATGAAAGAAAATGCGAGCAACACTTTGAGCGAACCACCACGCGTACCAGCGACGGTAGATTTGTAGTAAGATTACCGTTCCGCGAGAATAATTTGCCTATTGGAAATAATAAAGAAATAGCATTTAAAAGATTGATTCATTTGGAACGCACACTAAAGAGCAATGATATAATTCGCGATCGTTACATTAAATTTATGCGCGAATACATTGAGTTAGGACATATGTCGATTGTAAACGAATCTATTAACAATTTTGCAAACGCGGTTTACCTATCACATCACGGAGTTCTCAAGGAGTCTAGCAGCAGTACTAAGCTGCGAGTCGTATTTGACGCTTCTGCCAAAAACAATCGTGGCGTGTCTATGAACGATGCACTCCTTGTAGAGCCGGTATTGCAAGACAATTTAGTCGATATAATTGTACGCTTTCGATTTTGTAAGATTGCTTTGACGGCTGATTTACAGAAAATGTATCGTCAGGTGTTAGTTCAATCCGACCGTGATTTCCAACGCATTTTATGGCGATTTTCTTTCAATGAACCAATAAAGGAGTATCGTTTAAATACCGTCACATACCGGACAAGCATGCGCTTCGTATTTAGCAGTCCAATGCTTGAGACAATTAGCAGTAGAAGGAAGTGAACGTTATCCGCAAGCAGCATACGCCTTATTAAATGATACCTATGTCGATGATATAATTTCTGGAGCGAATACAATAGAAGAAGCATGTATGCTACAAGAGCAACTATCTGATCTATTGCGTGAGGGAGGATTCAAGACTCATAAATGATGCTCGAATTCGGAGGATGCTTTAACGAAAGTGCCGATAGATCTGCGAGAATCAAATTCAAACTTAAACATTGATGCGAACGATATCATTAGAACACTAGGAATCAAATGGAATCCGATCTACAGACGAATTTCAGTTTAATGTACAAATAACTGCGCATGCATCTACTAAGCGTAAAATGTTATCAGCGATTAGCAAACTATTTGATCCTCTAGGATTGATAGGTTCTAACGGTAACCAAAATTTTAATGCAAGGGCTTTGGGAAACCAAAATTGACTGGGACGATCCACTCCCAGAAGCGATTTTAGACAATTGGAAGGATTTCCAAGAGAATTTGAAGGAAGTGAATACCTTGCAAATACCTCGATTAATTGTTAGTTCACTAGAAGATAGTCGATTTTATATACAAGGTTTCTGCGATGCGTCCGAGAGCGCATATGACGCGTGTCTCTACATACAATCGGTAAACGAGATTCATGGCGAGATAACGGTCAAACTATTATGTTCAAAGGCAAGAGTAGCCCCTCTAAAGAAGCAGTCAATACCCCGGCTAGAATTATGCAGTGCATTATTATTGGCAAGATTAATTGATAAGATTCGACAAGCGATTCATGTAAAAATTGAAGGAATATACGGGTGGACAGACTCCATGGTTGTATTGTACTGGCTTCGTGGAGACACTTCTCGATGGAAACCCTTTGTATCCCATCGCGTAGCTGAAATTATCGAGATTTTGCCTGCCATTCATTGGAAGGTTGTTAAGGGTTCTGAGAATCCTGCGGATTTAATATCAAGAGGAACTACGCCTTCTCGACTCAAGGATAGTCATTTGTGGTGGCAAGGCCCCGAGTGGTTAACCAATCCACACCTATTGGCAAGAAACAAAGAACTTTATTGGGAACTCACGGAAGATGAGCTTTCTGAAGCAGAAGTGGAAGTTAAAAAGAATCACGAGTTTGCAATCTAAATATGTATCAACCATCTGCGATTAGAATGTTAAATGAGATAATTGAAAGTTTAACTAAGGATTGTTCAACATTAACAAAAATTGAGCGTTCTTTCGCTTATTGTCTTAGATTTATATCTAATATTTGCAAGAAGAAGGAGAATAGGATCTTAGGCAGATTATCATTGTTAGAACTAAATAAGGCCAGACAGGAGTTAATTAAATATTTTCAGCGCATATACTTCGGAGAGAAATTAAAGAGTTTGCAAGATAAACGTCAATTGAGTCAATCAAGCCAATTACATCAACTACAAGCATTTTTGGATGAAGATGGTATTCTCAGGGTGGGCGGCCGAACTTCAAGAGGCACCATGGAAATTCGAAAGAAGGCACCCAATCTTGTTGCCTGCACAATGCAAAATTACACGTTTGCTGATTGAAAGAGAGCATCGTACTTTATTACATGCCAGTCAACAATTGTTATTAGCTTCAATACGCCAACAATATTGGCCATTAAACGCGAGAAACTTGGTGCGACGGATTTGCCGTTCTTGTGTCTGGTGCATCAGAAACAATCCAAAGGGATTAACGCAAGCAATGGGATCTTTACCTGTCGACAGAATTAAGCCTACGCGAGCATTCACTATTACTAGAGTGGATTTTGCCGGTCCAATAGTCACACTTGTCAACAAGGGACGAGATCGGAGAACGTGTAAATCTTACATGGCATTATTTATATGCTTCTCCACAAGAGCTATTCATTTAGAAGCGACAAGTGAATTAACAACGGCAGCGTTTCTAGCTGCTTTGCGCAGATTCATAGGTCGTCGAGGTTTACCAAGCAAAATTTGCAGCGATAATGCTACGAATTTTATAGGCGTTAAGCGAGAGCTAAGTGAACTCTACGCATTAATACGTTCATCAATTAATGGAAGTGTTGGTGATGCCTTACAAGAAAGGGGTATAGAGTGGAGCTTCATCCCACCTTACTCACCTCATCTTGGTGGCTTATGGAAAGCAGGAGTAAAATCTTGCAAATATCACTTGAAACGAGTAATGGGCAACACTTTATTCACGTTCGAGGAATTAACTACGTCTCTAGTGCAAATTGAGGCACGCTTAAATTCAAGACCATTATCGCCTCTGTCTTCGGATCCATCAGATTTGCAACCTTTAACTCCGGGACATTTCCTCATAGGAGAGCCGTTGAATAGTCTTCCTGAGAACGACTTAACTGACGTTGGGATCAATCGCCTCGATAGATGGGAAAAAATCCAGCGTTCCGTCCAAGATTTTTGGAAACGGTGGGCGGCCGAGTACGTATCCAATCTACAAAGTCGTGTTAAATTGAAATCAAGACATGGAAAATGTTAAGATCAACGATCTTGTTCTTCTAAAAGATGATAATCTTCCGCCCTTAAAATGGAAAACGGGTCGCATAACCGAGCTTCATGCTGGCAAGGATAATTTAGTGCAAATCGTGACCGTACGCACAGCAAATGGTATTTGTAAACGAGTTATAGCCAAACTTTGTAAACTACATGTAAGCGATGATACCGATAAAAAAGATTAGTAGTCTAATCTTGGTGGGCGGTGTGTTAGCGACGCTTTTAGTTCATAAACCGCGCTCGAAAACAAACGAGGATCGCGCGGACGTGTAACACGGAGTGTGTGTGAACATGTACAGAGTAGTAGGAGAGAAGTAAGTGTGGTAAGAAGTATTAATAAAGCAAAGTTTAATTTCATGCAAGTATCATTCATTATCATAACTAAAAACAATGCTTGTGTAAATACCTTTGAAGAGTTCGCACGTCTACATTTTATATGACATTGTAAAATAATTTTAAAGAATCATGTAAAAAGTAAAAGTTTGGATATATTAGTAAATGCATAAGAACCAGACATACTATCCATATTATTAAAAATCACTTGAATGCTTCGACGAATATTCGAACAAATGTATGTCTTGCAAAAATAAATATTGTTACATTAAATTTCTTAATATTTGTGAACATGTAAAAGAAAGCATATAAAAATTTTTAAATACGAAGAGAAAGAAACAGTACAAATACTACCTGACATATGTTAAATATTTCAACAAATTATGTTTACATAATATCTATGCAAATGTTCCGTCTGTACTTGAATCTCTAATAAGTAATGTAACAATATTC